TCGATCTTCACGCGGAAAACTAAGTGAGAGGAGGCGAGAGCTGAGAACTAAAGGAGATTTCGAAGGTGTACTGAGAAACGAAGAAGTAACCGTTCAACCAAGTATATTGAAATACTGTCTGTTGAAGTCTGCCTTCTCAATCGTTGAATCTGGCAGTCTTTAAATACACAAATCTGTTTATGTCTAGCATGAATGGAACTAATTAAAGATATCAATCGATACACTTTGGTAAAACTAATTAAGTATCAAAACAATACTTAAAACAAAACGTAAAACAAAACTAAGTATCAAATAATACTTAAAACAAACCAAGTATTAAAGCGATACTTAAAACAAAATATAAAATAAAACTAATAACCGAGTACCTGTACTGGTTACAACTTTGACATCTATATTAATTACATCTTGAATTGGATCTGCTAAGAAGTTATTTCTATTCTATTAAGTTTTTAATAGTAAATAGAGAAACATTTAGTCAGAAGTACTATTTTTAACCACAGTACTTTACCTATATTAAGATGGTGTATCTTTATATTATTTTGTGTTATTAATTCCAATAGATCCCACTTTTTAGTATGAACAAATACTATTTTTTATGAATCATAGTCTAACTCCTACTTCTATTAGTAAAAGAAAGTCCTATGTATCCAGTACATCAGTAAAAAAAAACCCTCTCGCCAGATGAAGAACGTCTGCATCCGGATGTGACTGGTTAATTTTCTTTGTTCTGAGCACCCTGACCGTCCTGATGTTAACTTGTTTCATCTGTCCTATTCAACATGTTCCCATCCCGCTCCCTTCACCTCTACTATCTCACCTGCATATTGCAGGCTCTATTAGTCCCTACACCGGCCACTATTTTACTCCACGTCCCTATTTTGTGAGGTAGTTTTTGCTCTATTATTCCCAGATTATTGTCTCTTGAATGCAACCGTACCAGCTCAACTCGTCCACACAGTCCAGATCCATCTAGTAACATCCTATAATGGATTCTTTGTACACTGTATACTGGTGTAATCCTAGGATCCACCCATCGTTCAGCACCTATATGCCCACTCTAGCTATCCTCTTTACACCATGTGGTTGATTCTGCTGCCCTCACAAGCCCTCTTTGCTATAGCCATTGTGCTGGAATAGTAGCAGAAAGACCCATATACTGTAAAGATAGTAGTAGGCGCTGGCATATAAGTACTAGATGGTTTATGCTTTTTTTTCTTCAAGATAGCTTACAGAACGAATTCTGTCTGTCTCCGATCCGTATTCTTGATGTTAGTACTGCTCGTATTATTTCAGGCTCCACACATCCTCTCTGCTGCCAGTTTCCAATTTTCAGGTTACTTTGCTAGTAGTAGCATAATCATAATCCTTATATAATCTTTATTAGTATACGAGTATATGTAAGAATTTAATATATCCTATGAAAACGTTTGCAAATCAATCCGGTGATTTACTATCCATTACCTCTCCCTGGCGGGAACCAAATGCGCCTATCTGATCACTGTTCCTATATTAATAATCTGCATATTCTGGCTGCCTGACTGCTTACACACTCAGATGTATCCATTGGTATTGTGAAATCTCCTACTATGTATCAGATTGAGTACTTGAACTAATGCTAGCTGACTGACACCACATACCTTGCTCTGGATGTTTGTTATCTTGAAAATCCTTAACACCTATGCTATACACCTCCCTCGCAGATCCCTACATGAGTCTACTCCACCAACCCAGATCTATACCCAATCGTTTCTTAGCCCTGCATTTCGAAAAGCCTTTGTTCTAGTACAGTGAGTCTGGTGGATCTGGAAGATGTCAGTTGCTTGAAAGTTTAGGACTGAAATTTCAAGCTGGGTAAATCACACCACTGGAATCAATCCCAGTTTTGCAGAATTGGTAGGTAGCCACTGCTTATCTGCTACAGTCTGCTTGATATAATAGACCATCTCTTCCATTATTGTAGAATACATGATCTTGAGAGCCTCATGAAAGTTGATTAGTATACTGGTATTCCTGCGGTATCTGAGAACTCGCTGAAGTCTACTTTGGCTTGAAGATATCTGCCTCTC